TATTACTATTAGTTTTACAAATTCAAAATTCAATTAATACTGACGATCACAGTGTTCACTGTTAGTCTGTATACTATGAATGTTTATGCATTTTGAGACACGTTTCTTCTAATATTCCCTCCCTGGAAATTTATGGTAGCCTCCACTCTCTTCAGAGATTGTTTATTCGGAATTAGTCTGTAGCTCTCGTTATATTACTGCATACCCACATACTTACAACATACACACCCCAACCCACACATTACTGAAACGAATGTCACGATTCGTATGCATACTTTCTGGGGGGCAATGTAGCGCATCCGTACAATAAAAGACTATAAACGATCAGGATAATTGTACGACATCGCTCGGGAATGATATCACACCCAATACATTACGATACACACACATTTGTCCTATGTGACCTTCTCACTCTAACAATGCCATAGATCCACAGATCCATAGACAAACCCAGTGTCTGGTATTTCAAAGCATTATTTGTGTATGAGGCCACTAGTGACCAGGGGTACGATGCGGCATCACCGGGAAAACGTAACCTCCCCCTTTACAATGTGGTGTACATCATTTTTATCACATTCCCTATATACGTACATTCTTCCCGTGTGCGCCCGTCTCAGCCTAACATATGCCACAGAATCGCATACAATTCCACGTCCCGCTAAAACACGGCATTTACTTATGTTAGAGACCAATAGCAAACAGGGGTATAATGAAGGTTCACTCGGTGAACGTATCCTTCATATCAGTACAATATACGCGCTTTTATTATATATGTCCATCCCACCCTATCATGTACCACAGATCCGTATGTAGCCCCACTAATAATCACTACCCGCCAATACAAGCCATCCTCTGTGTACGAGACCTCCAGTTTTCAAGAGTAACATACAGCACCACTGAGGTTACATACCGTTTGTATACAAAACGATGCACACTTAGTTATCCTATATACTCACCCAGCCCTAAGATGTATCACAGATTCGTCCGCAGTATATGACATGCCGTGACCAGAGGTAAGCAACACTTAAAATTAATCTTGTATGTTCATCCCACCTTGACATATACCACAGATTTATCTGCAATCCCACCACGCGCCAATACAAGCCATCTTCTGTGTACGAGAGCTCCAATGACTATGGATACACTATAGAGCAGGGGTTACTCAAGCTCGTGTCTGAAGTTTGTGCAGGAACGGGCGTGGTAGAGTGCTGGTTGGCCATACCGTTTGAAAAAGTTGGTACTGATACATACAGCTATGCGACTAATCAAAGTATGTACAAGTCTAGAATGTA